GCAGATCGACGAAGTACACTGCTGAGGGGAGCAGCGGGTGGGTCAGGAGAGGTCTGCCTTGTCCTGTGGGTCACCTCCGGGGCGGGGATCAACTGAAGCAGAAGTGGCTTAAGCTTCTTAGTGCTGTGCTCTAACCCGCTGAGCCACCAGGGAGGGCCCCAGGAATCTGTATTTTTAACAGATAGCCTTCTAAGGAACCTGCAGCGCCCATTTAGGAGTTTATGGTCAACACTGACATAATACTTATCTCCCAGTGGAGTATCAGCTGCATAGCATTTTAGTACTTAGACCTTTAGGAACTATATTACGGATTTAGTAAACTACTGTATCTGTGATATAGCTCTTAAATAAAGTTAGAACACTTTAGAATGTTTAGAACATTTTTAAATGACTTCATTGATTTTAGGAATTTATGTTCTAGGTAAGTAACTCTTTAAAATCTTTATATATATATATATGTATATATATATATATATATTTTAACTCAGGATAAGGTTATTTCAGAATAACTTAAAGTTTTAGAATTAGTTTTTTCCTACCATGGAAATGCACTTTTTTTTTAGCAGCATATGTAAATATTGTGGACGTCAAAAGATGTAGTAGTAAACTACTATATCTGTAATATAGCTCTTAAACAAAGTTTGAATAGGAAAAAGATTTTTGCAGCTACCAAGAATGATTAATGACCTTATGAAGGAAGATGCTATTCCAGGCCTCTTGGAAGAAAATACAGTAGTATATATTCTAGCAAAGAATGAGGCAGCAAATTTTAAAAGGTCTTTTTTTGTTCTTAAGTACATTTTTCAAGCATTATAACAAAGATTTATCTAAGATGTTAACAGAAATATTTTTATCTAACCTACTCCTCACCAGCCCAAAAGGGTGGTATTGATTTGGTATCTCTAATTAATCTTTCTTTTATAAGATTTAGTCAGTATTTAAAGGTAATGTTTCTGCAGTCCATAGAAAGTGGATGTTTAATCATCTTATACCTTGGGAAAGAAACAGTATAACCTCTGCATAATAATTCATATATGTAATTTTTGAAAATATCTCTGCTTCTGGGCCCTCACTGGTGGCGCAACGGTTTAAAGCACAGCACTAAGAAGCTAAAGCCATTTCAGCATGAGCTCGATCCCCGCCCCGAGGTGACCCACAGGGTGCAGCACACCTCTCCTGACCCGCCTGCTGCTCCCCTCAGCAGTGTATGTCATTGATCTGTCTGTTCTGCTCCGCACTCTGTCTCTGGTGAATCCTTTCACCATCCCCACACCTCTGGCTTGTACCCCAGCTCTGTATGCATAAATAAATCTTTAAAAAAAATCTCTGCTTCTGATTTCATTTTTTATTTTAAAGATCTATTTATGCATACAAGAGCAGGGGTACAAGCCAGAGATGCGGGGGATGAGGGGATTCACTAGAGGCAGAGTGGGGAACAGAACATACAGATCTACTGAAACACTGCTGAGGGGAGCAGGATGAGACAGGAGAGGTCTGCTGTGCCACATGGGAGAGCTCCCTGCCAGGGAATTGAACTCATGCTGCAGTGGCTGCTGATATCTTCATAGTGTTGAGATTTAACCGCTTATTTTTTAATATATATATTAAAGGGTATTAATAAGCTTTGATTTGCAATTCATAGGAATTGATTTATTAACTAAATTTGCTGTTTTCGGTGTTCTCATCCACAAACCAGTGTTAAAACATGCATTTAGGTTTGGAGATAGGTGGCAAATCAGGAAAATATAGATTCAGTTTTATTTAGGGTTATTCCTGACCTTGTACTTACAAACACCTGCTAAGCACCTTCGGTTGTATCAAATAATCACTCGTAGCATTGATAGTTATCCTTTGGGGGAGGCGGTAACTGAAGAGAAAGGAGAAGGCCTGTGAAGAGATTGAGAAACGAATAGGGCCTTATTTCTTTATCTAGATCGTGGTTCCACATTGATGTTTTGAGAAAATTCACTGAGCTGTGTGCTCTTTTGATGTTTGCTGTTTTCTAAGTTTACATTATGATTTAATACTGTTAACCTAGTAAGTTAGGGAAAGTGAGGGATTGCTTTTGGGGGCATTTTTAAATGGCAGCATCTGGAATAACTATGAATATATTTAATAAATAATTGGTTATTAGAATCTAAAGCTGGGAAAAGGTCTGACGTGGAGGCAAATAGTTAAGACTTCAGTTTGGGGCAGCAAATAGGTTAAATGAAGTCTCTCCCCATCCCGCTTATATAGGGAAAAAGAGGCTACAGGCAGAATTTTGAGAAATAGCAGAGTTTAGGGGATTGTAAAAAAAAAAATAGCTGTTCAGGATGGAGAAATAACATTCAAAGAGTATAGAAAGGGAACGTGATTAGTTATGTGTTGGTAGAGAAACTTATATTTTCCACTGGATTTGGCATTAGAACGTGGAGTGAGGCATACTTAATTTCTGTCTGTGTTTTCTGCTATCTCTGTGACTTTGAAGCCCGCATTTAACTCTCCTTAGCCTCATTTTCCTCTTATAAAGTAGTCTTTGCTGCCCAGAGGCAGATGAACGTGCAGTGAGAGAACATATGTTCAGTTAGCGGAGGCTGAGTCAGCCAACACAGCGTAAGTACATGCTTACTTACTAGAGAAGTCGTTCCAAGGGTTCAGACGATCGTAGTTGAAACCTCGCTGAAATAGTCCGCATGGAGGCCTTTAGAGAACTGTGGGTGAAAAGGGGGGAAATATAAGTTCATGGAGTTTGCAATAGTGGCTGTAACCTTAGGGGAGATTTCATTTCAGGTGGGAAGCCAGAGTAAAGAGAGGCGACCAGAAGAGGAAGGAAATGGCCAGTGAGAATGGAGAACGGGGGTGGACTGTGACGTGGCTGGCTCCTTAATGTTTTAGGAATCTCCTTTCTCTGCTTCCCTTGGCTTCTTATTACGGACAAGCCATCGTTCGCTTTTAGGCTCTGTCTTCACAGACTCAGCGGTGTGGGGTGGCTGACGGGGCTCACCTTTATCTTATGGTCGTGCTAATCCCACCAGTCCAGCAGTCGATTGTCCTCAGTTGGGAGTCAGTCATCCTCAGTTTTCTCTCCTACCCTATGTAGTCTTACGGTCAATAGCGAAAGCCTGTCACAGGCTCTCCGTCTAAAATACAGAATCCTCTACTTTCCTTGCCTCTTCCTTGACTTGATAGTGCCCTGTACCGACCACACCGTCCACCTGTCACTTGAACTGTCAAATACCTCATCTCTGCACTCCCTGCCTCGCATTTGATTCCCTTCTTGTTGCCTTACCCTCTTGTGTAAACCCCCCTCCATCCCCAATTTTATTGAGGTAAAATTGATGTTTTCAACATTTATTAGTTGAAGGTAAAACAGAAGGATTTGACGGTGTATATTCCGCAACATTGTCACCTGGGAAACAGAACAGCCATGTTCTCACACAGCTGTTTTTTTCTTGAGATGAGAATGTTTAACATCCACCCTTAGCAGCTCTCAGATACATGGCATTGTGACCCGTGCTCACCATGAAGTATTTACCAGCTTTAGAACTTGATTAAAATTCTCTTACCCTCTAATGGGTTTGTTGTGTTTTTATTCATTTAAAAAAGAAAAATCCCAGTACCATTTTTTGCCAGTAGTGAACAAGAAAGATTTCTTTTAAATTCTGACCAGGGAGCTTAAAACTGATATGAAGCTAAAATACTCCTTCGCTGCACGTTACATGGGAACGGCAGTGACCTTTGCCCGGTGCAGAGGGGCAGCCCTGCCAACTTCGCAGTGGCGGGCAGCATGTCACTGCCAGCTCTCCTCATTCGTGTTACCTGCCCGCGTGGAATGTCCTTTTGTCTTTTACTGCCAGTTTAACTCCCTTTCATTGTTCAATTGCCACCTCAAATTTTACCTTTTCTGTAAAACCTCCTTTCCTCTTCAGTAAACGTAAGCAGTTCTTACTGCTTATGCATTATCCCAATTTTCGCAAGAGTAGAGATAGCCATAGTCATGGCCCTGGTTTCCAGAGAAAGAAACCAAGGCTAAGAGAAATCAGTAACTCGCCTGGCATCTCACTGACAGGTAAATGGTAGAATCAGAATTTAACTCTGTGACCCTCTGATTTCAGAGAGCATGCGCTTAGTCTACAGATCCTCTCATATTAGTAAGTAATTGTTGAAAAAAGTCTAGGAACTTCTAAAATGTCACACCTGAAAGTATTTTGGGACATTTCTGGGTTTGGATACACACACGTAAAATAGAATCTCCACAGTATAGCAGTTGACGTGGTTGTGATTAGTATGATGCTTTAAGATCACGCCTTCCCATCTGTTGAGCCAAGGGAGGAAAAGTGGGTGTTCTCTGTACTTCTGCTCCTGTCCCACAGAAGAATTAAAATCACATTTTCATTGTAGACTTCCATATGAGATGGAGCTGTGTGCGTATTTGTGTGTGTGTAATAAGTGGGCATGTTGAAAAAGGTCTCCAAACTTTGAGAACGTATGGATGAGCCTTCACATAACATAACTTAATATCAATGAAGTAATTAAAGAGCAATTAATTGTTAAAATATTTTAAGTAAGAGAGAAATTGCTGTAGGATAGAAAGAAAATGGGCTTTTAGGGAATAGGTGGGTTCAAGAACATTGAGTGGAGTTTCAGGAAGAGATTAAAGGGGGAAATCTTTGATTCTGAATCTACAGAATAATGACGTGAATAATTTTAATTATTAATTATTGCTTTATCACCTGCCTTTTCGCTCCTTGAAAATTAACATTGAGCCAAAAAAACCAAATGACAAAACTTATCTGACTCTTTGTGTTTAGAAGTATATTAGCTGTAAAACTGGTCTGCGCTTGTTCTGTTAAAGTGGAATTTTGAAAATGCTGCTAAGGATTTCCTGTTAATTATCCTCCTCAGTCTGACGTTTGAGGGATAAAGAATAGAATGACGCTGACCATGACAACGTAATACGTCCGCCTCGGGTCACCCGCAAAAAGTGCTCACTGTTTATGCTTCTCCTCTTGAAACAGCAAACTCATTATTACTTTGGGTAAAAAACAAAAAAGAAAGAATGAGTCTTCCGATGAAATCTCTGATGTGGAGCAGATGCCACAGCATGCATGCAAAGAGGAAGACTCTCAAGTGAGTATGACATTTTTTCCCATGAAATTAAACACTGGCAGAATTTACTTAGCTAGTATAATGTAAAACTACATGTTACTTTGTGGTAGAACGTATATGACAGCCTTACTGTAATACGCTCCGCATAGTACTACCATCAAATGTTAGATCTGGGGGGAAATTTACGTTTCACCCCTAAGTCCCTCGTTTTTCAGCAAATGAAACTGGAGCCTAGAGAGGTTAAGTAGTAATCCAAATCCCGTATGTCTGTGAGCGTGGATACTGTTTTGTACTTCCAGAGTATTCTTGAATGACCTTGGTGAGAATATTAATTTTTTAAACCACATACAAATGACAAAGCACATAGATTGAATTGTTCCTAGAGAATTCTCTTGATCTGCTTCTGTCAAAGAAAAGATAACCAATTATATTTAAAAATCCCCTAATGTAGACAAAAGTGCTGTGCATTTTGCTTTATTTATTTATTTTTTTGAATAGGTAGATGTTCAAAATAACCTTGTTATGTTCAAATATATAGATAGTGAAGGTCATAATAATTCAGGCCACCCTCTACTCTCTACTAATTAAAATACGACTCTAGGCCATAGGGGTGGTGGCAGTTGTTGAATTATGGGGCCGAAAGCCCCTGAATGGCCTTTCTTCTTCCTTATGCAGCTTCTTATCCAATGGGAGAGTAGTGGCTCAAGGCTCCCGGGCTGCTGCGAGAGTTGAGGTAAGGGCAGTGACTGCAGCTGTGACATCACATGGCCTGGCTTCTCCGTCAGATGTTATCCTTAATGTAGGCAAACGTGCAACTCACTTACTCAACATCAGAAAACCTAGTTTCATTTTTGCTAGAATAATGCTGGCCATTTTTCCACTTTGCATTCACCAGACAATGAAATGGTAGGTTAGGCTACCATGCGTATTTCTTTAATACCTTTTACTATGGTATTAAGTTGCTTTTGATAGGTGTGTTACTGGGACACAACAAAATGAATGGGGCAAGGAAAATATTTTCTAGAAAGCAATTATAAATCTGCAGTACTCACATGTTTAAATGTGTCATTATATCAATGATGAAGAGGATCGTGTAGTTTCCAAACACAACGGGTGGTCAAGACTTAAAGGCTGGAAATCCAATTAAGTTTAGGAGTCAGGTGGAAATCTAAAAAGGTGAATATATTTCTCTTTTTTTGCTTTTAATTTTAATAGAGGGTATTTTAGTAGTCTGACTACAAGACTGAAATTTTTTTTAAAGTCCTTACAGTGGATGGTAGTAGTAGCCTCTGCGAAAAAATATATTGTCACAGTCAGGTATTGACCATTTGAAAGCCTGTTTCAGACTTCTTAGGTAGAGCATTCAGATTGCTATGTTGAAATCTTTAAGACATAACAAAAAGGCTAGAAAAAAGAAATTTGAAGAAGGAATTTGAAGGAATTTATAAGTTTTAAATTGTCCTTTGAAAAAAATACAAAGTCAGAAAGCAGCACATTAGTCAAAGATGTGGGTATCAAATTAATTATTAACATTTTAAAGTAGTAAGTATTGTTTGATAGAGAAATAATTGGTGAGCATGACCCTTTGACTTTGCTAACGTGTGACTAAATACCCTTGAGGCAAATCATTTATGATGAAATCAGCTATGATTTCATAGGTTAAAACTGTGAGTTATAACCTTATAAGTCACAGACTTTTCAATTCCGCTTTTAAATTAATAATCATCATAGGATGAGGGAGCAGCTTACATTTGACCCTCATTCTGTCTCGTGAGGTTACCTGAATGCATAATTTTTGTTGGCTCAAAGAATTCTGTTAGGTGTATTGAAGATGGAGGTGTTTCAAAGAACTAATAGCTACCTAAAGCACTAGAAAGGAAACTTTAACACTGAAAACGTCTGACAGAGTCTTCTAAAATTATTCTGAGTTGACGCTGAATGCGTTATGTAGAAGATCTGTGCCTAGTGTCAGTGCTGTTATTGACAGAGTAATAAATGTCATTGTCAGATTCTGATACAGACTATTCTTGACCACTAAGAATTATATGATGTCCATACTAGAACGCTAAACATTCCTGGTATTCGATCAGAGAGCCATCGGATTCTGCCCCCCACCCCCAAGATATAAATATTTCATGTCTTTTTTACTGTAGGAGGTGGGATCATTGGGGTTCTAGAAGTCCTTTTATTTCAATTTTCATATGCCACAGCTCTCTGTCTCCCTTATTAATGAAAATGTTACCTTGAGTTTTGAAAACGTGCACGTCTTTGTGACCACAGGGTGGTATCTTCCGAAGAGAGGCAGGTTCTCTGCTGCACTGGGCAGGGCCATGTCACCAAGTCAGTGCCTTTCTTCCTCCCAGTATTCCACTAACCTCAAGAGAAAGAAGCGGAGTCACCTTAAAAGCCACTGAATTCTGGATACAAATACATTTGTCCCCATACTGCTGCACTGATTCAGCCATTTTTGTCATGGCTTTTGAAATATGAAATATGAAAGATTGAGCACTTGAAGGCCTTGGCAGAAATCAAAAGGAGAACCCCACGGGTTATTTTGCTGGTTACACTTTTGAGGGGCTGTCATGAGAGTTACTGAATGCACAGAAGAAAACCGAATAGAAAATGGAAGGAATAGATATGCTTAATATTGAGCAATAGAATAGTTGGCAGAGAGGTCAAAAAACGTACACCGAAATCCTTTGAGATTGTTCAAGCCCAATGTGAGACTTTGTTTTCATAGTGGGAACATCAACTTAGATCTTTAGGGAGGTAAGTAAACTCTTGTGTTTTCAAACCTCTTTAATTTACTTAGACTATTTACAATTGTTACTACATCTAATACTTTTTAAGATTTCTGCTTTGTACAATAGTGATGTTCTTTATTAAGGGAAGCTAGTAAGTTAATAAAACACTGTTTCCTCAACATGCACATTTAATTGTAGATGTAATACTTCATGTATTGTCTGTCTTAAAACGTTATGTTTTTAAATACACGTTAATGAGTTTTGTGGCATATATGCTGTAACTTCTTGTTTTATAACCCTGATTAATTTTTTAGCCAATATTCATCTGATGTGCTTTTTAGATTTTGGGGGGCAAAAACTGGTCACTACAATAGTTTTGCCTATAACATTTAATAATTAAATACTTACTACTTTTAATCATACTTTGTAAAGGAAACCAATAAAGGATTACTAATGTAGCACATTTTGCCCAAATGATGAAATAATTGTATAAAAAAGAAATACTTGTATTAACAATTTCTAAAGAAAAGTAATAAAGTTGTTACTAATCTTTGTTATTTAGTTGTGTAAAAAATACAACTGAAAAAAAAATACAGCCTAAAGTCAAATTATAATCTTCTTTTAAGTTAAGGAAAAAATGAGAAAAAATAAATATTTGATATAGTGTTTAAAGTTTATTGTTTAAAGTTGTCACACTAGGAATCTTTTTTAAAATCCTTCCTTTAAAATAGATCCGGTAAGCATGGTGACCCTTATGGTTCATTACAGAAAAGAAGATCAAATCGACAAATTAAAAGGAAAAAATATGCAGAAGATGGTGAAGGCAAACAGTCTGAAGAGGAGATTAAAGGCTCTATGAGAATAAAAAAGAACTCGGCTCCTTTACCTGGTGAACAGCCTTTACAATTGTTTGTGGTAAGACAGATTTGGGTTATGACTACCAATACTTTCAGCCAACACAGATTCTTTAACATAAGTCATCCCCTTTCCTCCTGGCACCTGGTCCATCTTTCCCCATTCAGTTCCATATTGTAGTTAGTAGGACTATTCGTTATCAAATCAGAAACTTTTTTCCCTTTGCCTCTTTATCCCTTTTGTCACCAGTAATAGTCTCGTAAATCCTCCAAATTATCCTTAGTGCAGAATATTTCTGAATTCTCAGCCTTAGGAAGAACTTTTCTACTGAAAACCCCTCTAATAGTTTCCCAAGTCTTACAAAAATGATGCCTTGTGGACTTAGGATACAAAGTCCTCAGCGTGAATTTTCTGGTCTCGTCCCCTGCTACTTCTCAACAAGCATGCAATCCTCGGGCCTTACAGGATTGTTTTGACACCTCTGTGTACTTACAAATGTGTTTGCCTGTTTATATAATTCTTTTTTTTTTTAAGATTTATTTATTTATGCATACAGAGCTGGGGGAGGGGTTATAGGCCAGAGATGCAGGGGCGGTGAGAGGATGCACCAGAGACAGATGGGATCTGCGAAGCACACTGCTGAGAGGCGCAGTGGGTGGGTCAGTAGAGGTCTGCCGCGCCATGTGGGTCAGCTTCCTGCCCGGGGCTGGAACTCTCACTATGAGCGAGCTTTGCAGTGCTGTGCTCTGACCCGCTGCAGCGCCAGGGAGGGCCCTCTGTATATAATTCTTTAGTGTGCCTTATTTGAAGCAACCACTCAGCTGCTGGAGTGATCTGAGACATGGCAAGTACTGGCCTTCTCTGTGTGTGTTTCCTAGTCAGTAAATGGTTGCCAGTATTAAGTGAATGTGTATGTGTGTGAAGTGTTTACGCTAGTGTCCAGTACACTGAGCGTCTACCGCGATGTGATGCAGTGGCTAACGAAGCAGCAACAGCAGTGATGCTTTTACCATTTTTAGATTCTTGACCCTTACCATGGTGCCTGGAACCTCAGCTAAATGTTTGCTGAGTTTTTAATGTATTCATGAACACAGAGAATGGTAACTGAAGGACTTGTGTGTCTTCACAGTCTTCATAATTTTCTTCTTCCCTCCATAGGAGAATCCTAGTGAAGAAGATGCTGCAATTGTGGACAAAATACTCTCTTCCAGAGTTGTAAAAAAGGAGGTCAGTAGCAGTATGTTTTACTTGGTACTTAGAGTCCACGGCCTGATCGCAAAGTCTTAATTACTGATTTTATTTTCTTAGATATCACCTGGAGTGATGATTGATACAGAAGAATTTTTTGTAAAATACAAAAATTAGTAAGTATTTGAGTTAGAAAAGTAATAGAATACTTATCTAGGTATAGTAAGTAGACTTAAATATACAAAGTTAATAATGATTATTATTTTATCTGCATTTTAAAATAAGTTTTATTACTATTATGTGAATTTCAGACTCACCTAAAAGTAAAATGACTAAAATGTTAGAACTGAATTTTTCAGAAAACAATTATCAAAATGGTGTAGGCATCTTTCTAAAATGGCTTTACACATTATGGATATTATTTGTTCTGTTGGACTTTGCAGATTTTATTCTGTATACCATTTACTATAGATCAGTGAACAAAATTGTTTCAAATGAAATTATGTTGATTTCAAAGCAAGTTGCTTTCTGATTATGACAAAACTATTAGAATGAAGATAAGGAGAATCATATCTTGCTGTTGATTCCATTTACCTTTGTGTTTCTGTATGCAAATTACAGACATTTAGGCTACAGTCTTTGGATGTAGTGATCCCAGTGACTTTATTTTAGAAATATATAGAATTTATTGACAATAACTAAAACAATGAACTACCAATTTGTAAAGTGGAGGATAGTATTTGGTATTGGAGGCTGGATTAAAAAAAAACAACAACAATTAAAATACACCAAAATATAGCTTTCTCTATTATTCTAATATATTATTTATATAAACATTTTAGCTCCTATCTTCACTGTGAATGGGCCACAGAACAGCAGCTTTTGAAAGACAAAAGGATCCAGCAGAAGATCAAGCGATTCAAATTGAGACAAGCACAAAGAGCACATTTTTTTGCAGATGTAAGAAAAATAACAAATGACATTATTGTGTCAGACACTGAATAGGTGTAGAATTCTTAAACTTTGGACTCTGACATTCGAATACAAATGCTATCTACGGAGGGTATTTTTCTTTCTCCCCACTTAGTTTAGGAAGTAGCTGAAACAGGAACACTGAGAATTCAGAATGGTAGATGATGTGTTTTTAGGTAAGCATGCATTTCAGTACTCACAGTTAAATGTTAATATTTCAAATAATTTCATCAGCAAAATTATTGAAGAGATGGAAATGGTAATGTAGCAAATAAATAGAAAACTAGACTTTTCAGAACATGAAGTATATTGCATATACTTTAACAACGCAGATCATGAACAGAACAGCATTGTCAAAATTCATCTCTCTTCCTAGTTCTCACTGCCCTTTACTGCTCTAAAGATTTTGTTTATTTTGATAAAATCTTGAGTGGTTCATTTTTAACTTTTTTTTTTTAAGATTTATTTATTTATACATACAGAACTGCGGTACAGGCCAGAGGGGCAGAGGCGGTGAGAGGATTCACCAGAGACAGAGTGGGGAGCAGAACAGGCAGATCGATGAAGTACACTGCTGAGGGGAGCAGCGGGCGGGTCAGGAGAGGTGTGCCGCGCCATGTGGTCACCTCCAGACTGGGGATCGAACTCATGCTGAAGTGGCTTTATCGTCTTAGTGCTGTGCTTTAACCTGCTGTGCCACCAGGGAGGGCCCATTTTTATTTGAAAATGTTGTAGACTTTATTTTGAACAATGAAGTTGCAAAGTTGTTAGAGTTAAGTTCCCATGTGTATTTTAGCCCCCTCGATGCTGCCCTGTTACCTTGCTTATTACTTCATCCTTCACATTCATTTTCCCTCTGCTTTCACCTCTCTCTTCCTCCCTCTCCTTCCATGTACTGATTTGTTTTCTAAACTAACATGAAGGGTGGTATAGAGGTTAAAGTCTCAGCACTATCAAGTTATCCGCAGCCACTGTGGCACAATGCGGTCCCCATCCAGGGAGTGACACACAGGGCCCAGCAGACCTCTTCTGTCTCTCTGCTGCTCCCCTCAGCAGTGGGTTTCAGTCATTCTGACTGTTCTGCTCCCCACTGTGTCTAGTGAATCCTGTCACCCCCTTCTGTGTGTGCCCCTGTTTGTTCTTGTATGCCTAAATAAATTTTAAAAATCTTTAACTAAATGAGGGATGAGCCTGTAAGTGGCATTCATTGTCTTCAATTCCATATACAGAGATTGCGTTTAGGAAGTTTTTATAGAGCTTCTAGAGGAACATGTCAGGAGTGCCTTTTTGGGTGCTATTTTGTTAGTCTTACAATAAATAACTTGATAATGCATAATATACATATGGCATAGATGTCTTTTTGGAAACTAGAAGTATTCTATTTATTGGTAACTTGTCTTTATTTCACTTACATCTTTTCACTTTTTTTGTCCAATAACTTAAATTACTTTTTAACTTTAGATGGAAGAAGAACCATTTAATCCAGACTACGTTGAAGTAGACAGAGTGTTAGAAGTCTCTTTTTGTGAAGATAAAGATACTGGTGAGGTAAATATTTGGTACCATTTTTTTAAGTTAAAAAAAAAACATAACATTTGCAAATGCAGAAACTTACTACTTTTTTAAAGTTAATGGCCTAAAACAATTTTTAAAAAGTTTTGTTAGTTTTTATTGACCTAAGTTAGTATATTTAAACTACTTCTAGCCATTCTCAATTTAAACTGTCTCTTCAAAATAGTAAAATAAAAAAACCTTTTTTACAGCCTGTTATTTACTACTTAGTAAAGTGGTGCTCGTTACCATATGAAGACAGTACTTGGGAGCTCAAGGAAGATGTAGATCTTGCAAAAATAGAAGAATTTGAGCAACTGCAAGCTTCCAGGCCTGACACAAGGCATTTGGTAAGAAGTCGTCTTAGACACTTTCATAAGGTCTTAGCCTTTCTTTAATCCCCAGTTTTAGTATCATTTTTTTAAGTGTAGTTTAGTCATTGTTACACAGTTGTTACTGTAGTTTTTTAATTGCTGTATGGTATTATATATGTTCATCTAACTGTTCCTCATTAGTGGATATTCCAGCTTTTTACTCTTCACTGGTGCACTGAACAGTGAGTCCTTGTCCAAGCTTCTGAAAGACATGACAGGAGTGTATGTCTCCAAATGTCGCTCCTAGAAGTTGCAAATATCTCAGAATTTGATTTCCCACTACCATATCTCTCAGATCACTTATAAAAATAGCAGGTGTATTAGTTTTAGTTCTAAATAGAATTATCAATCCCCCAGCACTTCTTCCATCAAAGAAAATGCCACCTTTTCTTTCCTGTACACCAGTTAGTTCTCTGTAACTGAATAGTCCGTGTGCTCCCATGTATCTTGATTTCTGGGAGAACCTTTTATATCGACCACTGGAAAAGCCTGCTAGGTCGTCTACACTGTTGCAGAAGGACTGTATACATACATCTCTCTTCCCTGCCCGTCCCCCCACACACACACCTCCCCCTGACCCCCAGTTGATTTTTCTAGTACAGACTGTAGTGTTCCAGAAGACTTTAATGAGTTGTGATATCACTTGTAATTGTATAATGTTTTGCTTTCACTTCTTTAAAATATCCTCTTGTGGATTTAGTTTGGAGAGCCAAACAAAACAAATTACTGTTAAGGAGACATTTAGGTTTATTACATATTTTGACCTGTCCATTTGCAAACATAATTTGATCATAGAAACTTCTTTTTTCATTGTTCAGGATAGTTATACATGAAAAGACAGGAACAGGTGAGCACCAGAGTCAGAGGGTGCTGCTGAGCACAATGTGGGGGTGTGCTAGGAAATCAGAGTGGGGTAGTTGTTCCTTTGAAGGGACCATGTGTTAGTACTATTTTCCTAGGCTTAATCTATCTTCCAAGTACTTAATACCCATAGCCTGTTACCAGTCAAGCAGCTCACCTACTTCTCTTTTGCTTCCTGAATGCCTTTCTTTGATCCTGGAAAAAGCGGTATTAACTAGCTCAGGTAGGAGGAGTATTACGAAAGGGCAAAATTTTCTTTGGAGTAGTGCCGGCCTCAGGGGTGACCTGATCTTCACTCATCAAGTCTGGTACTTCATGAGGTCGGTGGTTCTCTCAATCAGAGCTGCAAATCAAAAACACCTTTAGGACTTTCCAAAAATTAAAAGACCTGGTTTCTATTTCCTTGCTCCAGAATCAGAATACCTGAGTGTTTTTTAAAAGGCAGTTTTGATATCCATGACCAAGAAAAGCCACTTTTAAGTAAGTAAGTAAGGAGTCTCTATTAAAGACTATTCAGCTACTAGAATCAATTCCCTGATTAACATGAAATCAGTTTGACACAGTGTAGGCTGTCCTAGTTAATGTAGGAGGTAAGAGATAGCTAGTCTGTTAGCAAATAAAATAGCAAATGAACAAGTAAAGCATTTTTAGATTCTGGAAATAAATTTCCTTGACCCAAAGTAATGAAATACTCAATAGTGATTGCATTGCTGCAGAGAAAATTATAGAGAATAAAATTTAATGTGGAAATTGTTTTAAGCAGTAATTAAAGAAATATTACATGTTAATTATTTTGAAATATGCTGATTATGATTTAAGAAATACTCTCTAGTAAAACCTACTTTTATTAAATAACAGAGTTTTAGTAACTCTGTAGTTATTTTCAGTATACTCCGAGAGTACTTTCTTTATTCACAATTACTACCTTGATCATCCTTATAATTTCCAGAAGTGTAATTTGTCGATAAGTAACAGTATTATCATTTAAAGCAGAAGACAATAAAACCTTTTGCTTGTTTCTCAGAAACTCCTGAGGGCTAGACCCTACTAATTTAGGGCTGGGGTAATACTATTTCTCCACCTGTCTATTCAAAAAATTTATATCTTTGCTGTCCAGAATAAAATTCATGATGGAGGATTATGTTGCTGAGGTAGAAAAATGAAACTTGCATAAAATATGAATATATGTAAATGAATACCTTTTTTTTAACATTACAGAATTTTGCTTCTAGATTTCTTCTAAAAGAAATACTTTGTACCATGCATATAAAAGTGGTATAGAGCTACATGGCATACTTAACATAGATAAAAAATATATAGCATGTACACAACCATTTGTAGTTGACTGCCTCTGTACTGAGCCCTCGTGTAGCCAGCTGAGCCCACCAAAGTGTTCTCAGTTCATGTTGTGGGTCTTGCAGATGTTCACCCCTCATGGTCTGGGAACTTATCAGTCACGTACAGGTCTTAAATATCTGGGGTATCAGACTTGGATTTTAAAGAGAGGTCAGAGTTGTGAGTCTCTTCCCCACAGAGGGTCACCATTTCTGCTGTTACCTTTGTGGTAACATTATGTCTCTGCCATTCCTATCCCTTTCCATGTGGAACTTTTCCCCTCTCATTTGCCTACTGTATAGCAATGTCTCAGCTTGTTTGGGGATTACTTTTAAAAGAAATTTTGCCATGGTAGCTCGGAGAGTCGGTATGCCCATGGGATGAAGTAAGTTCAGGGTCCTTCTTTGTCACCATCTTGACCTGAATCCAGCGGTGTGTCTTCCTATTAAAGCTAGGTTGAGTTTGAAGTGACATATTGCAAGTGCATGACTTGATGCATTTTGATATATGAAACCTTCATTCTAATCAAGATAGTAAGCGATCCATCATTCCCTAAAGTTTCCTCATGCCTCTCTGTAAACTCTCCCTCGCAAACTCCCTTCCATACCTCCGTTCCCTACTTGCACTTGCCCACCAGTCTTCTTCATTTCACTATCCAATTGCTTTAAATTTCCAGTAATCGTATGCATGCTCTTCTCTGGCATCATTCCTACGATGTAGCATCATTATTTTGAGATTTATGTCATTGCATGTATTGACAACTGATTCATTTTTGCTAGCATATTATTCTGTTGTAATTCAGAATCCCACAACTTATACTCTCACCTGTTGATGAATGGCAGTACTATGTACTAGATATAAAGTTTCAACAAATAATAGTATACTAGTCTTAGTTTACACATAAGCTTTCATTTCTACTGAGTAGATAATGCTGAGTATAACAAGTGGATCATATGTTAGGTGGAAATTTTCATTTTTTAAGAAGCTGTTAGACATTTTTCCAGCTGGTCATACCACTGTTACATCCCCACCAGTGTGACGAGATCCTTGGGGAGCCTTGCTGTTGACCACAGTTGGTGGTTTCTTTAGTCTTAGTGATTATGTATAATGATACAATTTGCATTTTCTAATGATTTTGAGCATCTTCTCATATGCTTATTGCCATTGTTTAGCTTTTTAAAAACATCACATATTCACCTCTTTTTATTAGATTGTTTTTTTATTCTTGGACTTCAAATGTTATTTTTGTACTCTAGATACAAATCCCTTATGATTTGGAAATGTTTTCTCCCAGTTCCATGGCTTGTGTTTTCATTATTTAATATCTTTCAAAGCAAAAGTGACCGATTTTGACAAAATCTAGCTTTATCTTTTCCTTCTGGGTCAGACTTTTGGTGTTATATCTAAAAAATCTTTGCATAACCCAAGTTCACGAAAGTTTTTATCATGTTTTTTTGTTCTAGAAGTTGCATAGTTTTTAGTGACATTTATGTCTATGACTCACTTTTAGTATATTTTATTAGTAAAATACTAATGAAATTAATAAAATACATAGTTTAAATAATAAAGTATATCATACATATATGGATCAAGGTTCACTTTTTGCTAATCATTCAATCACCTTTTTTTTCTTTAAAAGGAAAACTACCTTTATTTCCCTAAATTATCTTTCCAACCTTGTTCATATCAGCTTGCTTCATACATGTGGGGAGTTTTTGAACGAACCCTGTATTCTGTTAACATTGATCTGGTTTTTTATCTTACACCAATTCTGCATAGTCTTGATTCTTAACTTTTATGTGTCTTGAAATGAGATCTTCCAAGTTAATTTGAAATCCAATCTTCCAACTTTATTATTTTTTCAAACTTGCTTTGGGTGTTTCTGATCCTTTGCATGTCAGTATGGTTTAGAATCTACATGCCAATTTTGATAAAAACTGTCCTAGGATTTTGATTGGATCTTGTTTACTGTTGTCGATATGGGAAGAATTAGTAACAACAATATTGAGTCTTTCCATCCATGAACTTATATGTTCACTTGCATCTTCATAGTTTGAACAGTATTTTGTAGATTTAAATACACACATACACCTTTTTTTTTCATATTTGGATGCTGTTATAAATGCTTATAATTATTGCTATCATACAAAATACAATTTTCTATTTACTTTTCTTGTATCATATGTAACCTTGCTAAAATCACTTCTTGATTGGTTTTGTTGTAGATGCTATGTAGACAAATCATACCATCGAAGAATTAAGAATTTTTTTCTTGTTTGATTGCTCTTGTTACCATCTGCAGTGTAATATTGCCTAGACATGGGGACAGTGGGTTCCCTTGCCTTTTCATGATGTTAGAGAAACTATTAATCTTTCACCATTAAATACGAAATTAACTTGGGATTTTTCATGGATGCATATTGTTAGTTGTATTAAATATGTGGTGAGTTTTTATTAGGAATAGATGCTGTCAGATCCCCTTTCCACAGTTATTAAGATGATCACATTTTCTTTTTGGCACTTGCTCACCATCAGTTCATTTTGACATTTTCCATTCCTGGGGAAAGCTTGGTTGTGACACATTAATTCTCTCAGATAGTGTTAGGCTCCACTTGCAAAAATTTTCTTAGGGATTTTTGCTTTTGTTCACGAGATTGATCTGCAGTTGTCTTGAAATATTTTTATCTTGTTTTGGTACTAGGGTTTCAGAGAATGAACTGTGACATGTCTTCCTCTTCAGTTTTCTGCCAGAGTTTGTTCAGAACTAATTTGGACTTTAGTTGTTTAATAAGATTTCTTTACAACCCCATAGAGTATGATGCTTCTGTGATTATTTTCAAAGCAGTGTTATTACCATGTATGAGATGTATTGAAGATCTACTCTCTGAAATACATCTTTCGTTCTTTGTTTTTTCACAAAGGATCGTCCTCCCTCTAATATTTGGAAAAAAATAGACCAATCCAGGGACTATAAAAATGGCAATCAACTCAGGGAATATCAACTGGAAGGACTCAACTGGCTCTTGTTCAATTGGTACAATAGGTATGTAGTGCTTGTTGACATTAGGAATTTTAGTGTGCCGTGTTTTCTGTGTGCAAATGTAAGTAAAGTTGGTGCACGTGTTGCTCTTACCATAATGGGACCTTTATTCCTGAAAGTGAGGTCACCTCAGGATGATGATATGTAAGTTATAATTTGGGAGTTTGGCAACAGTTGCTTCCTTTAAACGTGTGCCGGTCAGAATAGAAAAATGCTGATATGGTGATTAATATTTAAGCTTGAAATGCTTTTTTATATCATAAAACATTTGCACTATTACAGAATGTTTTACTTATCAATTTAAACTACTGTCTGCTAGTAATTGAATGTAGTTAGTATGTTGTGAACAGTTACATCTGTCTGAACCACACCATCAACAATCAAAAGGGAATAAAATACAAAATATGGGAACCTAGTAATGAGTTACCCTTTTTTACTATTTTATTTCCCAATTTGAATGCTTTTATGGAACATTCTCTCACTTTTTTTTTTCTTTTTTAGAGAGGTGAAAAGATAATGGCAAGAGACATGTAAAACATAGTGGTACCCCATGGTTGAGAAAAATGTATAGTAGAATATACAAAAGTACAAAGAAGGCAGTTTTATTAGTAATTATAGCAAAATTTGAGGGCACCTCAAAATTACTTTTCTGTGTTTTTACTTCTCACATAATTCTTGTTTGTTACATTAGTAATGTGGGTGAGTCCTGAGACCCAATAGATGGAATTAGAGGGGCCCATCATCCCACACAGTGCTCTCTCCTCTGGTTTTTATTTATACTTTCAAAATATTATTCGTGTCCCCCAAAGGAGCCTTCCAGGTGAAGTAACTGACAAGATTTTTAAAGACTTTTCTTCCCCTGTGAGGACCCTCTCCCGTTTCCTACGTCTCTCCTTTCCAACTGCGTTTCCACTTTCCTCACACCCGTTATGGCGGCCCCGACCACCCGCCCTCCTTGTGTGACCGCCTCCCTGGGGAGGCCGCCCGGTGGTGGCTTCATTCAGGTCCTCGCCTGCCCAGCCTGGCCAGTCTCTCTCCTTGGCTGGTCTCCCCTCCAGCGTCCTGTGTCAGAAATCCGAAGGTCGCTCCCAGGACGAAGATTAATGCTACCTCTCCCGCGCTGAAGACCAGTGCGTCCCCTCAGCTTGTGGACACAGTTGGGTTTAACCATGAAAGAAAACAGAAAACGAGGCATCTTCTCGGCTAGCTTCCGCTCTGGCTACCTGAGGTCCCTTCATAACTTCCTTGCTCTTCCTACTTCCTCGTCTCCAGGAACCTTCACACTTGCACCTGGATTTCTACTCTTGGTCACCTCTGAAGCTCTTCATGTTCCAACCACAGGGCCTCTTTCCGCCCCGACCTTCAGCCTGCTGCACTGGCTCGAGGTCGCCACTCCCTTCCTTCGCCCTCTCTTCCCTCGGTCCAACAGCACCCCGGCGACTTCCGTTCCATGGTCTGCCGGTTCTCCTTCCTCTGCCTGCCCTCTCAATATTGTTTTTGTGCCCAGAGCTCAAAAATGACGTGTTTGTTCTCCCAGAGCCGGACTCGGGGCGCTGCACTCTCACTGTGCAGCTCCTCAGCCCTTCGGGCTCCTGAGCCCAGCCCCGTGGCCAGTGAGCCAGGCCTTTCACTGGCCTTATCGCTGAGGCCAAGCGTGCCAAGCCCTTGCTTGTCTGCGTCTCGCTCCTTCCAAGCCCTTTATGTCTGTATCAAAACAACAGATAGAGCATTAATCCTCCCATTTCCTTTTTCCTCCGCAACAATCTTGTTTTTCCTCCAGTGTATTCTGCTGGTTGGTTAAAGTTGACACTATGTGCCTTTCAGCCACCAACCTGAAATCTGGGTCTTCGCCCACAAACCATGTATGTGAGGTGCCACTAGGTGCCCATCCCTCCAACCCACTTATTTCTGACGCTGCTTCTCTGTGCAGCGGCTCTTCCCCAGGCTGACGTGGCAAGCTGTGGTCAGGCGACCCCGGCCTCGGTGCCTTTGCTACCTTGCTGTGCCCTTTGGCAAAACCACACACTTCACGCGCCTTGGTGGACGTCTGCCCTGACCCCTTCGAGTTCCCATCACATTCTTACACTCTGCGCTTCCATAATGAACTTGATACTGATGATTCTCCCTCTGTGGGCCTTGTGTTTCAAATGACAGCTGCTTTTATCCTGCCCCATACCATGAACGTAGAGGGGAGGGCTGTGGGTGTCTGTTGCTTTCAAGCTCTATAGGCGCTTTTAATGCACAGCCAAAACCGAACATCCGTGCCTTGTGTGTGCTTCCGTGAGAGCACGCTGTGTGACTGTCTATTTACTTATTTGCATGTCTGCGCTTCTAATAGATACAAGCCCCTGGAAGGCAGAGGACATGTTCTATTTCTTTTGTAGCCCATCTTCTCATGTTGTCCCCAAGCCACAGAAAGGCATTTAATAAATGCTTCCAGAACAAATGATATATTCGGTCTGCCTTGCTCTTGCCATTTCATTCTTTAAAAAAAAAGTCAAGTATCTAGTGGGTGATACCTTTATTTTGGAGCTAAAAAAAAAAATCTGTTGTTTTCCCTTTGCAGGATTCTAACAAAATTAAAATCTTTAGCCTAGTCTACAGTTCAGCAATTTTTGTTTTTGTTTTTTTTTTGTAAATGCAAGTATTTTAACTGATCTTTGATTATTTTTGTCTATTTATCTTTAAAATATTGTAGGATACAGAAAAACCCAGTGTATACATGGATAATATATTTGTTTATTTCAGACGAAACTGCATTTTAGCAGATGAAATGGGTCTGGGCAAAACCATTCAATCAATTACGTTCCTCTATGAAATCCTTCTGACTGGTATAAGAGGACCTTTCCTGATCATTGCTCCACTCTCTACCATTGCAAATTGGGAACGAGAATTCCGTACATGGACTGATATTAATGTTGTGGTTTACCACGGGAGCCTGGTTAGCAGACAGATGATACAGCAATACGAGATGTACTTCAGGGACTCACAGGTGTGTTGTGGTGATTTTTGCTTGTTGTTTTAAACTCTGATTTGAACAAGATAAGCATTGCATATGAATTTTTCAAATTTCAGATCAATTTTAACTGCCTGCCTAGTTCTAGTTCCCATTATTCATCATCATAACAGTAAATTTAAGTAGCTACAGAGAATAGTGACGGAAAGTACAGAGGTGCATGTCCTAGCCCGCTGTAAAGATGTGTAGAAATAGACCAAACGTTTACATCTTTTAGTTTTCACCTAGAATAATCTTTTTTACTGTTTTAAAATATAAATTAATTTTAGTTACAACTATCTCTTTGATCATCCTCTAATTTTTTCTCCATTTTGAAAGTATCAATCTTCAGTGAATACCGTGGATTTAAAATGACGTTTGAGGTGAACCCATAGATTGAATTTCATGTTCAATGGATGTGATTTCAGGTGCTTTTAAAAATTGCAGTTGTTTGTTTTCTGTACTGATACTATCAGAGGGCCACGTCTTTCTCCCCTTTGGGCTGGTTATGTCTACTGTCTCCTGTTTGCTGTGTTTCATCTCCCTTTGACTTTAGAGACATGTTTTCGACTTTACTTTGACCACTTTTTCTTTGGAAAGGGATTTCCTGTTTTTATTTGCTAAATATATAGATCATAAAAGTAAGAGATGATGTTGTAAGAATGAACTTTCTAGTAGAAAAGTTAGGCCTAGAAAACATTTAAGTGCCAACTTGCAGTTTTGAGTAATGATGTGACTCTTCATAGGTTTTTACTGAGAAATGAGAAACCAAATCAATAAAAACAATTTACACTGAATTGAAATTTTTAATTAGAAAAGATTTATCATCAGGTACTCTACCTCAATTACACCTTACTATTTTCTCTTTCTTTCACCAGTCCTTTAATTTGTCTGTGAAGATCATTATAACATGCAGCTAGGTCACATGGTGATAGTTTGAAGTGGGGTAATGCGTTCATAGCATTTTAACTTTAATCTCAGACTATACCTCATCTTCTGACTGTCATAGGCTATAAAGGAATGAGCTGGTGTTGTCCATTTTCAACCTCTTTTTCCCTGCAACTTCTATAGTTGAAATAGTTATGTTTCTATGAAATTAAATTTCTCTGTAATCCTTTAATTATTCCTAAGTTTTACTGGAAGCTATCACCTTTGTAACTCTGGAGACTATGACATCTTAGTTTATAGTTTGATTGCTTTCCATGGTGTTTTGTTTTATTTTTATTTTATTTTTGATCATATATTTGTAGGCCCTTAGAATTATATATGGCTTCATACAGTGGTTTGGTTTGATCTCATTTTCATGGGAGGAATAATTAAAATATTGGGAGTTTAAGAGATTTTCAGCAAGGTTACAGTTTTAATTCATGTCATATTTGATGTTGGAATAACTATAATAGTCAAAAAGCTGAAAAATTCTTGGTATGCTGTGAACTGGATAGTATATATTAAATGTTACATTTTTATAGTCAATGGAATATTATCTGGAGTTTTAAAATAGAGGATTTCACTTGCTCTTTGTAACGCCGACTTTGTTAATAAATAATAATAGTTTCCCCAATTCTACATGAGGAAGCTGAGGTGTAGAGAATACAGTTTTCCACAAAATAACAGCAAAACTGGAATCATAACTCCATGTCAGTTATGACTGACGCAAGAACCCACTTAACCTACCACCTCATATCCTGGGGACTTAGAGGTACATAGATGCCACATACTCATACTTTCTACCTATTTTAATGGCTTTTTACTGAAGTTATTCAAATAAAAAGGCCAGTTCAAGCAACCAGTGTGGATTACTCTACAGTTAATGTAGCTAAGTTGATAAGAATTACAGTCAAAAGCAGATACATAATTATTCTTCACCCTTCATTTCTCCTAATCCCTAGTAGTGTATAATTTTCAGTCCGTGGAAACATTCTTTTTGCTGGGATTCCAGGACTTTGTACTGTCCCACATCACCCCCTGTCCTTCCCTCTCAGCTCTTTCACACATTCCTTATCTTCTTCCCATATGCAAACATGAAGGTGACCAGTGCTCGGCCTTTCACTCTTAACATCCATGCTCGTTGTGTCAGAGACTGGAGTTAGTCATACACTTTAAGTGCCGTTTATACTGTTGAAACCCCCAAATCTTTACAATGACTCTCACCTCTTTCCTAGTTTCCAGAGTAACGCCCCAGAGCCTATTCAGCTGTGCAGGTCAGATTTCTGATGGCTCCAAACATGTCCAACCCCCAACTCCTGAATTTCCTCATTATAATTAATAAACAACACCAACTTCTTGGTGTTGAAATTGCAGTTATTTAGAGTCAGAGTTGAATATTCTCTTTTATCTCACTCCATACTTCTTAGCTCCATTTTTAAACTGTAGGTAGAATTAGCTCTTTCCCTCACATCCAGTGATGATCTCTTGGCGTGAAAGGTTTAAACTGACCTCTGATGCTCTTCTTGATGTCTTTTAGACATTTTTTAACCAGCAACCAAAGGGACTCTATTAAAATAATCAGCTTTCCATAACCTCATCTTTTTCCCTTAACAGCTATGTCCTATATTTGAATCATTGGGATGTTAAGTTCCACTGGATCGTGATTTTGTCTGTTCTGTTTAATGACATCTCCAGCAACTGGAACAGGGTCTGGCACATAGACTCTTAATAAACGTTTGCTGAATGAATTACTTAGAAGGCTATTGTGGATACTAGCTAACTTACTTGCCATTTTATGTGTGATTTTGTAGATCCAAGTAATAAGCATTATAGTGGAATCTCAGTGGCCAGATTTTATAATGGCCTTTCCTCCCGTAACCACAGATTGTTGTTATAACTTTAAAAGATAGGAAAAAATTATCAAGGAATACTCATTTAGACAGAATTATAAATTACATAGTTGTGTTGGCATAATTATTGACAATATTCCTGAAAAAAGCAACCCAGTATAATTGTAATGGTAAAACTTCTCATTTTAAGGAAGTATGTGCAAATACATAAATTTCAGAAGAAAATGTCTTTTAACAACTGTCATGAGATATGTTTTTATGATATCTGACAAGTTAACAATAGTGATTAAGACCATCTTGCAAATTACTATACTTGATAATAAATTTCTAGGGGCGTATCATTCGAGGCGCTTACAGATTCCAAGCCATCATCACTACTTTCGAAATGATTCTTGGAGGCTGTGGAGAGCTCAATGCAATTGAATGGCGATGTGTGATTATTGATGAAGCACATAGGTTAAAAAATAAAAACTGTAAACTTCTAGAAGGCCTGAAACTCATGAATCTGGTAAGTAACTTAAACATTGTTAGCTGCATCGTAAAAGATCTTTTAGAGTCAGAACTCGTGCTATAAACTCACTCCCTTTTTATTTTAGAGTATAGAAGCAACTGACTTGTGTCTGCAAAAGTTAAGACATTTTGCTTTTGCTAGTAAGGGAAAAAATCTCATCTGTTTTCTAATACTGAAATTTTGTGAGCCCTTTCTTCTGGAAAGCTTTAGTAATTTGCCTCTAGAATTAATAAAAATGAAAGAAATCTATATAAACTCTTGAAAACTGTGCATTTTAAGCCATACATTCCCTTTTAAACCTTTCTTCCAGTTATATTACTCCTGGCATTATGGTAGATGCATAAACTTCCTCTGCAGTTCTGTATGAGTAACATATTCTTTAGTTAATACATGGAATTTTTAAAGTCAACTTACTAATGTTTGCTTTTTGCAACTCAAGGTGTTTTATACCTTTTCTAACATTTGCTTAAACTAAGGTCACATTATTAGTATATGGACACTTGAACAAACTACAAAAAATACACAGAATCACAGTAAAAGATTAAAGTGCTCACTTGAATTCCTCCCAGCCCCACTCCTTCCTGGCACCTAGGCATTGGGGTGTATCCCTGAACATTTCCTTGCATAGACACACAGATGCAGATTAACAGACACATCCACAACTACTTAGCTTAGAATTTTAAATATAAAGAACTTAGATTTTTATCATTAAAATATTCTATGTTTACTTCCAAATGTTACAAATTATTTTTCATTTGTAACATAATTTTAGTTGAGAAGCATATTCCATCAGACCTTTATGTTGTTGGATTATTATGGGTTGAGGATTGTTCATGTGTGAAAAATCAGGCGCTGTGCATGGATTCTGAAGGGTGAGCACTGCTTTGTGTACAAACTGCCACATGAAAAGTAACTGAATAAGAAGAGAGAAATGCCTTCTTTGGCCTGAAAAAGTTTTGAGAAAATTAAAAAAATAATTATTTAGAACGCTTCTTTCAAACATATGAGTAGGTAAAAATTAATGGCATGCAGAGTAAAATATTATGAGAATGATAGTTTTTCAAAAGTGGAAAAAGTAAATTAATGAAGACCTGTGAGTTAGAGATGAGTTGAACTTTGAAAATCATGGTCAGAGAAATTCTTAATTTTTTTTTTATTACAAAGTTGATTTTTATATCATTTTGCACATTTTTTTTTTTTACATCTCGATTGTAATCCCCGCGGGTTTCCCATCACCAAATCACCCCTGTGCCACCACCATAGTCTCGTGCATTTCCCTCCCTT